TATTTACGGGTATGATTTTGGGAAGGGAAATAAGTTTTTACATTTGGTGGGTAGAAGACTAAACATCTGTGTGAGGATGACAGCAACAGTCATCCTAAAGAAGACTGGCACCACATATAGTCTTCTGTAAAAACAATGACCAAGACATTCAATTACTTGCAGCCAAATGATAAATAAAACCATGCGGACTTTTCGGGAGATAAAGGTCGAAGTTAGTAAGCGCCTAATATGATGGAGTTCGAAAATTTTTGCGAATGAAAACTTACTAGTAGACCTTAAGACTTCGACGAATAACGATGGCCTGTGAATGGCGAAGAAATGAAAATTTTTTTAACAGCTAGTAGTATGCATCGATGATTTAAGTATAAAGAAAAAGCAGGTCATACAGAAGCGGGAGAAAGTGATTTGGTCTCATAAAAGAACGACACTTCTATGTATTGTTGAGATCTTTGTGGCTCAGGCGAATGGTTTTGACGTAGTTGTGTTCTCTAAGCTGAAGAGAACACAACTACATCAAAATTTTAATGTTTTCTAAGGAGAAATAATCAAAATACCAATAATAATTACAATAATTCTCTCCATAAGATTGACACAAGTCTACAATTATCATTATTATGTCAAATGATATAGTGCTGGAAATATTGCAATAAATTTGCCTATTGTCGTACACCATCCTAGAATGGCCGTAACTCTCAAAGTGTAGCTGAAACCTCAGGTGCCTTTTAAATGACACGTTAGGCGGATCAACATATCATGATTTTCCTGCATAACGTTTAGAGATAGCAGCGACGAAATGTTAGCTAAGGTGCTGGATCGTATCCGCGGAGCAAACGTAGTTTTATCACTGATCATCCAACTTTGTGAGAAAAGAAACAAACATTTGTGTATTAACCGTCGAAGACGGGCCTTAATATTATTTTATACGTGGTAATGCAAAAACTTGTGGTCAGCCTGAAAGGTTTCAGAAATCACAATGGTTTTCAGGTATTAATAAATTAACTTTGGCAGCAGGTTAAGCCCTGCTGAATTTCCCAGTCCAAAGAGAGTTTTAGCCCTCAGTATTAATTATCGTCAATGATTTTTATTTCTTAAACAGAGAAAACTTGTTTCATGGAAGATAACGTGATCAGTAGTTGAAAGTTATAACATCTAGACTTTGTAACATATTCAAAGGAAAAACCAGACCGTTATGAGCAAACCACAAGAACGAAAGTTTCTATTTAAATCAGTGTGATACAGAGTCTGCATTATGATGCGATATAGTGCTATCAAATGTATCATGCAGAGATTTTTACGCTGTAAAAACCGAGTACTTCTTCATATTAAGTCGCGGTACCCAGATGTTTACTTCAAAGAGTGATAAATGTTGGTGTTTATGAATGAAGACTGCAAGGATTCAAGGATTAGTGATAGGTGTTTTGTACGAATACTAAAAGCAATACTGGTAAATTTGCATACTTATGAAGATAAAATAAACCTTTGAATATACTTTAACTGCCTACATTTCTTCCTTCCCAAAGACTGTATCTGTTCTTACTGAGTGCGACTGAAGAAGTCAGGTTGCGTGTAAGTCTGTTTGGAGAAAAAAGCGTAGTATCCAAGACCTAGGTCTATTGGGCTACCTAAACCAACAGCATACTTGGATTTCGTCTTTGGTTGATGGCCAGCTCAACCTCGCCAGATACTAGCTTGCTAGGCTACTAGCTTACTGGTTTTCTAGCCGGTCCCAAGCCCGGGTAAAGAGGGAGGGTTGGGGGGTGGTGCTAGCAACTCCACCTCTGTAAAACAACCAAATCGCTACAGAAACTTCAACGAATAAATATATTAAAAATTCTAAAAACATAAGCAATAGCCTTACTTTTCGCTGGAATCGGGGAAGTGAAATGACGCAGGCTGGTGAAAGCCTTCGGGAAGCCAGTCAGCCGATGTGCCTTCTTTCGATGAAAGCAAAAGTAAGGATGGGTACCTGGAATGTTCGTACAATGTACGAAACTGGAAAGGCTGCCCAGATAGCCGCTGAAATGAGAAGGTACAGAATAGAAGTGTTGGGAATCTGCGAGAGCAGATGGAACGGAACTGGAAGGTGCCAACTACCTACTGGAGAGACAGTAATCTATTCCGGCCACCTAGAGGACAACCATGAGCACACCGAGGGAGTGGCCATCATGATGTCACCAACAGTAGCCAAAGCTCTCATGCAGTGGGAACCAATCTCCTCCAGGATAATGACAGCCAGGTTCAACTCAAAAGGAAGGAAAGTTACAGTCATTCAATGCTATGCGCCTACAAACGTCTCAGAACAAGAGAAGAAGGAGGCGTTCTACAGACAACTACAAGCAATAATGGACAACGTCCCAAATGGCGATATCAAAATCCTGATGGGCGACATGAATGCGAAGCTGGGAGGAGACAACACAGGAAGAGAACTCACCATGGGTCGTGAGGCCCTCGGCGAAATGAACGACAATGGTGAACTCTTCTCAGACTTCTGCGCCTTCAATGATTTGGTGATTGGCGGTAGTGTGTTCAAACACAAGGATATACACAAGACGACATGGATTTCACCAGATGGAAACACCAAGAACCAAATAGACTTCATCTCAATTTCAAGAAAGTGGAGACGGAGCCTACTGGACACAAGGTCAAGGAGAGGAGCAGATGTGGGTTCAGACCACTATCTAGTAGAAGGGACTTTCAAGGTGAAACTAAAAGCCTCGAGGATAGCTGGGGATAGGCCACAATGCAAGTTCAACACTCAATTACTGAAGGACACAACCACAAAAGACACTTTCACTGCAACTGTCAGAGCAAAGCAGGAAACACTACGCGACAGCACTGAAGAATCATGCGTGGAAGAACATTGGAAGTCTCTGAAGGCGATTCTCAACGAAACGTGTTCAACGGTTCTAGGAAGAAAGAAGAGACAAGACAAGGAATGGCTCTCAACGGACACTTGGAAATTAATAGAAGAGAGGAGAATGGTGAAAGAGAAAATGATTCAATGCAAGGACGGACAGGAGAAGGAGACGCTGAGCTCAACTTACACAGCACTGGACAAAGAAGTGAAGAAGAGTGCTAGGAAGGACAAAAGACGATTCTACGACAACCTGGCCACTGAAGCTGAGAAAGCAGCAGGCAAAAGGGACCTGAGGACACTATATCAGATAACCAAATCTCTATCCGGGAAGAGATCAACACAAGCGAAACCTATAAAAGACAGCCAAGGGAACCCAATTACCAAGGAAAAAAGACAGATTAAACAATGGGCGGATCACTTCAAAGGACTCTTGAACCGACCATCACCTGCAACCCGTCCAGAAATACCAACAACAGCGCGCACACAACTGCAAGTTGACACCAATCCTCCAACGAGAGCTGAAGTCTTGAATGCAATCAAGCTTCTGAAAGCTGGAAAAGCAGCCGGACCAGATGGAATACCCCCTGAAGCACTGAAAGTGGACCCAGAGACTACAGCAGACATGCTGACTCCATTATTGCAAAAGGTCTGGAAGGAGGGAAAGGTGCCTACTGACTGGAGGAAAGGTTACCTCGTGAAACTACCAAAGAAGGGCGACTTAGGACTCTGCAAGAACTGGCGAGGAATCATGCTCCTGTCGACGCCAAGTAAAATCCTGAGTCGCATCATCCTGGAGAGATTAAAGGACGCACTGGAGACAGAACTCCGACCAGAACAAGCTGGATTCAGGAAAGGCAAATCATGTACTGACCAAATTGCAACTCTACGCATCATCATCACAGAACAAAGCATGGAATGGCAATCAAACCTCTACCTCAACTTTATAGACTTTGAGAAGGCCTTCGACAGCGTTGATCGTGAAGTAATTTGGAAATTACTCGAGTACTATGGCGTACCCCAAATATTCATCAACCTTATTCAACAGCTGTACGACAACGGCACCTGCCAAGTGATCCACAACGGAAGACTCAGCGAGGCGTTTGGAGTAAACACAGGAGTCAGGGTGCTTACTATCACCAATGATATTCCTAATTGTGGTGGACTGACTGGATTATGCGTCAGACAGTGGGAAACGAGAAGACAGGAATATCCTGGACCGACGTGAAGAACCTAGAAGACCTGGATTTCGCGTGTGGATGATTTCTGTTTGATGTCACACACAAATCGAAGACTTACAAGCGAAAACCGACAAACTGGTCGAAGAAGCAGCAAAGACAGGACTCCAGGTAAACATAGACAAGACGGAGGTTATGAAAATAACCAACCAACAACAACAACAGCACATCCAGCGTCAATCACCATCAACGGGAGGGATTTGAAAGAGGTTACTTCATTCACTTATCTAGGGAGCATTGTCTCAACTACAGGAGGAGCGGACGAGGATGTCAAATCGAGCGAGAATCGGGTGGGGCGAGAAACACATTCATCAACCTGAAATCAATCTGGAAATCTTCGTCACTCAGCATCAACAACAAAATCTCGGATTTTCAATACAAACGTAAAGTCAGTTCTTCTATACGGATCAGAAACTTGGCGGGTCACAAAGAATATTTCCAAAAGGTTGCAGACCTTTATTAACAACTGTCTTCGCTGTATACTGAAGATCAGATGGCCGGAAAGAATCACCAACAAGAAACTATAAGAACGAAACAAGAACCAATCACCCAACAAATATGCAGGAGAAAGTGGAGATGGATTGGACACTCCCTGAGGAGCGGCTGGGTGACATCGCGCGTCAGACCCTCGAGTGGAACCAGGCCGGAAGGGAAGCGGCGAGTGGGATGTCCAAGAGTGACATACATGAAAGCGTACGAAGAGGAGTTGAAACAGTATAGACTAACATAGAGGCAGGTGAAAAGTACAGCAGCAGACAGAAGCAAGTGGAGAGGTGCAGTTGAAGCCCTATGTTCCACTAGGAACCCAAAGGAACAATAAAATTAAAAAAATTCAATGAGACGTTTGATGGGATTTGAAACAAAATTATATTTATGGGTGTCGTATATGTAGGTAGAAATTGAACACCATATGACATCTTTACTAGCACCTTTAATTTTGTTTAAATGTTCCAGTCGTTAAGCTGGATGTGATATCGGTTTCTGTGGCAATCCAAATCGTCAAGCTATGAGGAAGGTTTTAACACTCGATACCATCAATCCGAATTTGATAAAGGTGGAGTATGCGGTACGCGGCCCAATTGTAGACCGTGCTCTACAAATCGAAAAAGAACTGAAACAGGTATATATTTATTTTTTATTTCTATAAATTTGCTAGGGTGTTAGCAAGCCGTTTAAAGAAGTCGTGAAATGTAATATCGGTGATTGTCATGCCACCGGGCAAAAGCCAGTTACATTCATTCGTCAATTAACAGCCGTTACAACATTGCCCAATCTGTTTGATGATAAAAGTATACCTGAAGATGCTAAGTCGAGGGCTATGGCAATCCTCTCCGGATGTTCTGGTTCGAGTGTAGGTAAGTTCTCTTCTTCAGTTTTCCTCTCTGCCTCTTATCAAAGCACATTATACTTATCATATGCACTGGAAACTGACTAGGTTGGAAGTACTGTATTTTGTTAATAAATAATGAGAGAATATAAACATAATGAAAATTTACGTGTAGTGACTACATAGGTTAACAACTTGGTAAGCATCCCAGTCAATGAATAGCATAGTCACATTTACACGCACAACACTTAAAACGCTTTTAATTTATTTACTGCATTTTATGCTTGTTTGTTGCTGTTGGAGGATCCTTCTTTAAATTTTTCGCGTTGACACGTTTTTACCACGTATAGTAGTTTTTCGTGAGTAGCTGCTCGTTCTGCTACAGTATACTTTGTTTGAAAAATGATTGTATTCATGCTTTGACTGAGTTATCTGATTTGGCTATTTTTTTGTCGCTCATCATACTTCTTACTGATCTACCTGGTAAATTTGATTGGATTCATGGGTTATTTTAAAGTATGGAGAGTAGGAATTCTGCGCTACCTTTTTCGTCATCGCGTCTTAGTAATTATATAGGGTGTTAACCAATGATTTCAAAATAGCTCTAAATGGGATACGATTAGTGTTACAGGATCTTTAGAAATCATTTTAAATATAAGAAGTGTGGGACATAGTAACAATGTAAGTAAAGTGCCCTTATAGAATTAATTATCGCTGACGAAGTTAATTCAGTTTGTTGCACTGAAATAGTAGTAATCCTGCTTTTAAAAATCAAATATATTTATCTCCTTTAACGCGTCTTTGGAACATTTAGTTCTCATTTGTTTTCCAAAACAGTTTTGATTTCTTTGGGTGGAATCCGGCTCAGTACTCGGGTTTGTACATCGGAGGAAATTGATTGATTATCCTTAACTCATTAGATATAATTAAAGTATTGTACGTACAGTTAAACTAATTTCAGTAATAAGATACTCTCTAGTTTATACTGTATGAGCGTTTTTTGCTACTTGATAGTGCAACACATCAGCATAAAACCGACAGATGTACTGAGTTTGTGTCTCAGTGTTAATAATAATGATTTTATTAGTATAACTCGATTTTTGCATCACTATGCTTATTTAGGGCGAGCAGTCGTTTTAGGAAAGTCCATTAATTGTTTCAGGTTGTTTGACAGGTGAAAAACGAGCTTAAAATATTCCTGAGTCATTAAATATACAAAACGCTAAGAGGAAGCTTTTGAGATGGTATTGCGTCATAATTTTATTTGGCTTTGGTTTGATAAGCCCAAGGTGTGATGCAGATGACGCAAAGCTATGTAACTAGGAGAAAATGTATCTCATTACGTTACACACGGTTACCTGTCTAATTATAAATGTATAGACCCTGGGCTTTGTAAAGCAATAATTGCGTAATATGCTACCTCATTTTACTCAGGTTTAAGGAAAAGAAAGGTCAAATGCCCCTGTTTTATACACGGAGGTCATTACATCGGACTTCTGATAAGTAATACAATTATCCACAAGGCACTCATGTTTTGCGAGGTATCAACTAAAGAGTTTGCCATACTTCCGGAATAGACTGTATTGTACTGCTCATTTTCTAGCATGAACTAACTTCTTATTTCATGAATCTGAAGCATTGCCTGCAAATTGTATCTGTTGCTAGACGTTTCTCCCTTAAAATTATCATTTCTACCCGTTAATATGCCTTTAAAGTAATCTTCTGCTGTGAAAATAGGTTTGAGATAGCAAATACGAAAGGCATTATCCATCAGTGATTTTATGATTAAGCTTTGCTCATTAGGTCCTATTACTGATTTTTCCATTGGGCTGATTGATTACATTTAGCGTATTAAGTACTTTTGAAAAAGCCAATATATTTTTTAAATAGTGGCTGGCAGTTATTCGGCTAAGTAAACTTCCATCTTGATCGTTAACCGTTTTGACTCAGTCTCTTAACTAGCATATAAAGTAGTTCAGAAGCTTGATGAACAGCATTGTGAAATGTTAAGAGATGAATTTAGGCTCGATCAGATAAACAAGTTCACTTATCTGTTGTATTCTAAATGGGGTCATATTTCTAACCGGTGTTTTATAATATCGATAAATAACTTTTTATATTACAAGGTTTTCGAAGCTAACAGCAACTACTGGATAATAAAACGTAAAATAATAATGCATTGAAATACGAGGTATTTTTCCTTAGTCACAAAATGATTTGTTACTCTTCTGATACTATTTTGAATGATATATTAGTGCTGATTGCTTTTCACATTTGACTGTTCACTACATCGCTTAATTCTAGGTTCCTATAGTCATTCACTTGGACTTGAAGTGGTGCGTAGGAACGTGGCAAAATACATATACGAGCGGGATGGTGTTGAATCAAACTGGGAAGATATTTTTCTGTCAAATGGTGCCACAGAAGCTGTAAAGGTATTTTGTGACCGCAATGAAATTTGTTTCTATTCAATATGTTTCACTGTAGGGAATTTAACTTTGATGGAAATTTAGAATTATTTGCCTTCCTATATCTCCTTCACTTATTTCGTTCATTAATACTCAAAACTTTTATGAAAGTTGAGGTTTATTATTATTTTCGTATTGTTCCCCTGGGTTCTGAGTGGAATATATGGGCTTCAACAACACATCTCCACTTCCTTCTATTCCCTGCTCTCCTCTTCAGCTGGGTCCACGACTGCCCAAACTCTATTATCTCTTCCTCACACGACCTCCTCAATGTCACCTTAACACCGACGACCAGCTTGTCACTTCCCATAGGAATTCCGCTCGAGAGGCGGCCTGCATTGCGCGCGGTGTCATTTGATAGCCTCCTCAACGTATGCCCGATCAATGCATCCCCATTTTCTCCTACATATTTCAATATAGCAAAAATATTCATTCAGACATTTATAAAACACAAAATAATCGAGCAAAGAATATTCTTTTCGATAAATTCCTATTCTGGTTCTAAATTGCACTGATCGTACTTTATAAATCGATATTACTTAGAAAACACTAATATTGTTATTGACTAGTCTATTCTATGTGTATAAACGTATATATAATTGTAGAGCCAGAAGAGGAATTTATCGAAAAGAATATTCCTTGCTCGGTTATTTTGTGTTTTATAGATGTCCTACATATTTGTTGAGTAATCGGCTCTTGGTTGGTTTTTTTCTCACCCAGAGTTAATTGTTACTAAGTGGTTCTGGCCTGCCACTTGATCTTCAGTATAGAGCCAGCGAAGGCGGTTGTTGGTGAAAGTCTGCGACCCTTTGGAAATGTGTTTCGTGACACGTCAAGTTTATGATCTGTATAAAAGGACAGACTTCACATTTGTGTTGAAAATCTGAATCTTTTTGTTGATGCTGGCTGAGTGCAAAAGATTTCCGAACTGGTTTCAGGTTGATGAAAGCGTATCTCGCCTTTCCGATTCTGACTTTAATATCTCCATCCGTTCCGCCATCTGTGGTTGAAACCGTGCTTCCTGACCAGATAAGTGGAGGAGGTGACCTCTGTTAAATCTCTGCCGTTGATGGTGACTAGTGCTGGTTGTTGTTGCTGTTCGTTGGTTATCATCATCACTTCTGTCTTCTCTATGTTCACTTGGAGTCCTGTCTTCGATATCAGCCTCTTCTGCCAATCTGTTGGTTTTCTCCTTCAAGTCTTCGAGTTTGTGTGACATTGGACATATATCATCTGTGAAATCCAGATCTTCTAGAGTCTTCTTATCGGTGGTCCAGCGTATTTCTGTCCCGTCTCTGCACACAATCTGATGCATAATCCAGACCATCACAATTAAGAATATCATCGGTGATAATAGGCAGCCAGACTTGTCTTTCTCCTGTATTCACTTCAGAGGTTTAGCTGTTTTCCTTTTGAGATCATCTAACGTGTGCCACTGTCATACAGCTAGGTGTTGACTGAGGTTTATAAAGATTTGGGGAGTGCACGCCGTAATGCTGAAGTAGTTTCCAAATTACGTCTCTGTCGACGCCTTTTAGAAATTGATGAAGTTGAGGTGGAGAGACGTTTGACTGCCATTCCATACTTTGTTCGATGACGATACGCAGAGTTACTGTTTAATCAGCACGTGATTTGTCCTTCCTGAATCCAGCTTGTTCTAGTTGGTGGGGTGGAGTTCTGTATCCAGTGAATGTTTTATTCTCTCCAGGATGGTGCGACTTAGTATTTTACTTGGCGTGAACGAGAGCATTATTCCACACCACTTCTTGCAGAGTGAGGCGTAAGTCACCCTTCTTTGGCAGCTTGACAAGGTAGCCAACCGTTCTTCCAATCGGTAGGTACCTTTCTTTCTTTCCAAACCTTTTGCAATAATGGTGTGAGCACATCTGCTGTAGTCTCTAGGTTCGTTTTCAGTGCTGCGGGAAGGGGGATTCCGTTTGGTCCTGCTGCCTTCCAAAATGGCCTTCAGGAGCTTGATCGCACTTAGGATTTCTGCTTTCGTTGGAGGACTGGTGTCCGCTGGCAGACAGTTCTGTGCTTGCTGTTGGTGGTGTTGTAATTCTGGCCGGTGATGGCCGATTCAAGAGTTCTTTAAAGTGATTGTTTTATTCATTCCAACTCCTTGGTAATCAGGTTTCCTTGAAAGGCTTTTGTTGGTTTCATCATCTGGGTTGACCTCTTCCGGGATAGAGACCTGGTTATCTGATATAATGTCCCGAGGTCTCTTTTACCTGCGGCCTGTCCGCGTGTTCTGCTTCATTTGCCAGCCAGTGCGTCGTACAATTGTCGTTTGTCTTTTCCAGTATTCTTCTCCACTTTTTAATTCAGTGCAGTGTATGTTGCTGTGAACTCAGCTTCTCCTTCTGCTGTCCATCTTTGCATTGAGTCATCTCTTTCACCATGGTCCTCTCCTCTCGTCTCATTTATTATCTTCCAGGTAGTTATCTGTTGGGAGCCATCCCTTGTCTTGTCTCTTTTTTGTTCCTAGAACATTCGTACATGTTTTCTTGGATATCACCTTCAGAGAGTTTTACTGTTCTTCCACGCCGGTTTCCTCAGTGATGCCATGTGGTGTCTCCAACTTCGCTCTAATCTGATCTATATTGAAGGCATCCCTTGTAGTTTCGTCTTTCAGTTTCTGAATGTTGAGCTTCAGTTGTAATGGTCTGTCTCCAGTGGTTTTGAGGGATTTCAGCTTCACCTTGAAGTTTCCTTGAACAAGATGATAGTTTGAGCCCGCCCACATCTGCTGTCCTTATCGACTTTGCGTCCAGCAGAATGGCTGCGTCTCCAGTTCCTTGAGATTTAAATGAAGTCTGTCTGGTTTGTGGGGAGTCCGTCAGGTGAATACCACGTTGCTTTGTGCATATCCTTGTGTTTGTACACGCCGCCTCCAATCACAGAATCTTTGAAAGTACATAAATCTGCTAATAGTCCTCCTTTCTCACTGATTTCTCTGAGATCCTCTCAACCTATGAAGAGTTCTCTTCCTGTATCATCACCTCCCAGTTCGACTGGCATTCATATCGCCTATAAAGATTTTGATGTTGAAATTAGGAATGTTGTCCATTAACGTTTGTAGTTGTCTATGAAAATCATCCTTCTTCTCTCGTACCGTGTTGTTTGTAGCACTGTGAGTAGCACTGGAAAATTGTAACCTTCCCTGCTTCCTTTTGAGTTGAATCTTGCTGTCATGATCCGGGATGAGGAAATTGGTTCCCATTTCATTAGGACTTTGGCTGCCACTGGTGGCACCATAATGGCCGCACATCCCCTGAGTATGTTCGTAGTTATCATCTGGGTGTCCAGACCGAAGTAGATCACTGACTCTGCAGTTGACGATTTTGGACAATCCGCATCCATTCCATCTACTCTCGCAGATGCCCAACACTCGTATGCCTTCCAAGTCTAGTACATTGTAGGGACACTCCACGTTTCTATTCTTACTGATGCTTTCATTGAAAGAAGGCACATTGGCTGGCTGACTAGCTTCCACAAGGTTTTCACCAGCCCTCATCATTTCGCCTCTCCGATTCGAGTCAAGAATAAGATTTTTATTTGAAGTTTTTGTATTTTTAATATTTTTGTTGTGTGTTGAAGTCTCTCTAGCGGTTTGATGGGTTTAGTGGTGTAGGTTGCTAGCTCTATGTGAAACCCTTCTTCTTTATCCAGGCTTCGGACCGGCTAAAAAACTAGCAAGCTAGTTAACTATGCGAAGTTAAGTTGAAGTTTACACTCGTCAAATTTAAAATTTGAAGTTACTGATTGTTGTCTGGCTTGATTTTTTTTAATGCACCGTCGGTTTCCAAAGATAGTAGCACTGCTTTATTATGCAGTTAGTCAAAGGCTTTTCACTGAGATCATACCGACTTTGTTGAAGATTTTATTATACGGACTGGTTTGACAAATACTAAGAGAATGTTGGAAATTTAACTTGCTAGATTACAGAATCGGTTAGCAGTCTCAGAGTCAGGCATACTACCTACCTTCTCTTATTGTTGTGAACAAAATGTTATCGCTTTTTGACTCATGGAGTCCAGTAAATCAAGACTAATGAAGGCCAGTTATCCGATGACTTGTTGGAAAAATAGGCTTTTATTTTTATTGCTCTCCGACTATTTCCTTACTATATGTATTTTATTCATGGTTTTCAGGTTTTAATGCAAATGATATCTTCAGGCGCTCAAGGCAACGCTCGAGCTGGTGTTATGATTCCAATTCCACAATATCCTCTCTATTCAGCTACGAATTCGGAATTCAACAACTATCAGGTTGGTCTTTTGTTTTCCTACTTTGAAATTATTCCATTAAAACGATACATTCCATCGAATCGGAAGTCAGTTCTCACGAAGAAATTTACTTGCTCTGGAGTCAGTTTCCTAGTATTTGGAAGAGGAATATTTTTCTCAGTTATTGGGTGATATGGCCCCTGAATCCGTTAGGATTCGAAATTAACAAGCGGAAAACTGTTGGGTGCTTATAAGACATAAATATTTAAGTGAGAATTTTTCGTCTAAGTCAGAACTCCTGGGCGATCGGTTTATCTCACAGTGGATCAATGGTAAACGGGCTCGCAACATAACCCAAAGGTATTCCTTTCAATTCTCAGTGGTGCTGTTGGTAAGGAGTCACAAACTATGAAAAAACAACTGTTTTAAAGGATCTCTAACTGGTGTCAGCTCGTGACTTAGTATGGGATAAAATTAAAGTGTGCTTCACATATGTGCAATCTGGTTAATGCATCTTATTTAACTGTTAATGGAATTTCAAAAAACTTTACTTCCGGCCAGTAGAAAAACAGATGTATTATTACCATTATAAATTTATATTTCCTAATCCATGAAAAAGAGAAATGATTTTGTTTTCACATTGTTGCAGTTTGGTTATAACAGCTTTATCAAAACAGTAGTAAATTGGAATCCACATAATCCTAGTTTACATATGGTAACTTGATGAAGGTTCTGTCAAGTGTACTTTGCATCACATCTTCTTACCTCTTGTTCTTAATTAATATATTCACTTAAACAATAATGATGAAAATTGTGAGTGTTAATTTTAACATCTAGCATAATTAAATCTTATGTTGTTGATTGATTATAGTTAACTGTCAGTGATACGTTGTCTAAGGATTTTCTAAGAACGATTTTTTGTAGTGATCATCTGGGTGGCACAGTGGTTAGGACGCTCTCTGACTATGAATATAGTGCGGGATTCGATCCCTGGCCGATATCAATGGGCTGTCGGTATTACATGTTGAAAATTCTACAGAGGTACCAAAAATACCGCGCTATAATGATAACAATTAAGAAAAGTTTAGGAGATGAAAAAATGTCAATATTTTAATAGTTTATAATGATATGCTCTCATTCAGTTATGCTTCTATATTTTTTATAAACAACCTAACCTAGGTACATAAGTCACGCAAACTAATCTTGGGATTCTACATACCTAAATAGAAGCGATATAAACAATTCTCAACACAAAACTCGTTATCACTAAGTGTTTACTTTAGTAAGAGTTTGACTTGTAGAATTTTGACCTATGAAATACTTAGAATCTCTTATGAATGGTCTTTACAACAGGATCATACCCGAGATTTTGTAGCGTTCTTGCATAGTAAGTTGCGATATCATTGGGGGAATCTTGTCGGTTTAAAATCGTTATCCAAGGATTAAAGGACCTCAGATCTTTTGTTGAGTTATATATTTTTGTAACGATGTACATTGAGCATGGTTCAGATGACTAAACAGTCTACTCTTTGAAGTGAATGACAAACACTACAAACAAACATAGGATTTTATTTTCGTTCTGTTCAGAAATCTTTACGGTTGTTCTACGGCTGTTCTATGATGCAGTAATACCAAAATGAAATTGGTTCTCTAACTGACATCAACTCATGATGAAATCTTCCATACAGTAATATCAGTTGACAGATTAATGTATTTTGTTTCAAAATAATTCAGAAACTTGGTTCAACTCAATACAATTTCAGGCATTAATTGTTAACTTTGTGGTTTGGAGCTGGATTAGATGATTGTGATACACTCACTGAAAACCAACTCCCATTCCCTGAGTGTGGAAATACTGACTTTCTAGTTTTTCATTTAAGAAGATGACAAAACTTGTTATTACTTCATAAGTTTCACATTAATGAGCTCAGGTATACTGAACAAGTTCAGGAGGATTGTTCGATTTAAATTTCTTGAGTCACATTCCTTGAACTAAATTTTTTTCAGTGATTCACTGCCCATATTTTTACCGGTTGTGTGAGGTTACATAATTACTATTTTTATTCATTATTCTGTATTACTGATTGCCATAGAATTCAGTCAGTTTCCGCCTAAATCTAATAAAAAAAAACTATTGCATGCTATTTATCGAAGTAACTCAAATGTTTTATTCTAGATCAACTACTATTTGGATGAAAATGACAATTGGGCATTATCCAGAACTGAACTGGAGCGTGCTCTGGCCGGTGCGAAAAAAGAATGTATGCCAAGAGCTATAGTTATCATCAATCCGGGAAATCCAACTGGTCAAGTCCTATCACGCCAATGTATGGAGGATATAATAAAATTTGCCGTTGAACATGAATTAGTATTGTTAGCCGATGAAGTTTATCAACATAATGTTTATCAGCCGGAGAAATTTCCCTGGACTAGCTTCAAAAAGGTTTTGTCTGAAATGGGTTCAAACTATGCAGATAAATTGGAACTCGCCTCTTTGATGTCCTGCAGTAAAGGTTACATGGGAGAGTAAGTACAGTTTGTAAATTTTCTTGAGTTACCATACAATTCTTATGTCGAATGAGAGTAAACAATTATTATTTTGAAGGAATAAATTAATAGAACCGTAATTATAAATCACAAAACTGATGATTTGTACGCTCCGTACGCTCTGGCGTTATGATGACTGTTTGAAGGAAAACTAATAAGAATGACTCAGTAATTAGTTATTATTTCGAAGATTTATTTATGGACATAAAATTGTAAACAATTTTAGTCTTTTCGTTTAATAAATGTGGAAAGTGCAACAGTACAAATAAAATAACGACTCAATGTAGCCGTAGTCATTTACGCTATATTAACATGAAGTGTTCTCACTTATTGTTGAGTTAAACATGTTTAATAGATGAATGTGTACTGAATTTGTGGTTTTTAGCTGTTTTTAGGATAGAATTAAGTCAGTCAACCAGAAATGTAATAAATATACAATAACCTTTGTTATCGCATTTAAAATATTTCGAAGAAGTTTCAAAATTTCAGGAAATCATTATGAATAACATAGAAAATAGGCAGAATAAATCTTATTAAGATATGGTATTGTGATAAAACTCTGAATATTGTCCTTTCATCATATTCTGTGGAAATGTTTTGATCGTGTTTCTTCCCATGAAATTGGAATTTTTTCTTTTCAGCTACAAAGAAGTAGTGCAGTCCACACTGTCCATACTGTATTATATATGTTCTTCTGAATCTAGTTCTAACTAGGATTGTACAAGTAGACAACATGGCAGCTTCATTTGCCAAAATCCTTTTATGTGTTGATTCCTTTAACGAACCACAAATATCTGTGCATTTTTCTTTAAGATTAAAAAGTTGGGTCAACTTTGAACTTTTTACAAAGGTGCACGAATCCAGACTAATAATTTTCGAAATAAAAGTAAGGTGTTGCTAAAGTAGACAGACATGAATGTACCAAAAGATAGTTAAATAAAGATGTTCAAAATTTTGAATGTGATAATGAGTGAACTGTCTTTCACCACCATGAATAATTTTAGGCTATGTGTGAACTATCTTTAATAATTGATTTTTAAAAGCCTGCTGAACTCAACCAGTCAGTCTTCATCTCCTTACATAGCTCAGAGATTTAGTGAATTTGCATCATGTCTTGATCTGACCGACGTTGACTTTTATTCATAGATAACCTTATTCTATCTAATATTCTCCAATCAGAGATGTGTCTAGTTCAAATGCTTGAAATATATTCCGCTAATTTCAGTCGATAAAAACTGACTGCTACACCAACTAATTTATCTCCTTTGGCTAGCACCGACCAAAATTTTGCTTTATGATACAACCTTTAATTAAACAAATTATATAAAGCCCTGAAATACCTTGAATTTCACTAGGTTCTAATAACTTTCCCTTCTTTTTGTTGCTGAAAATTGACAAATTTGGGGAAATATTTTAGGCATTACTCTTGAAATAGCAAACTTATATAATTGTATTCCAATATCTATACATTCTGATTTAAAAGAATAGTATAATCATATATTAAATATGAATTCTTTTGATTGTTTTAAAATCAACTCATATATATATATCTTCTGCTTATTCTACTGATATTGATTTCAGATGTGGTTTCCGTGGTGGTTATTGTGAATTAATAAACTTTGATCCTGATGTAAAAGCACAACTATTCAAGGCTCTTTCAGCACGATTATGTCCACCTTTGTTGGGTCAGGTAAATTAATTCAAATCTTAACTGGTATAATCCACTCGTTTTTGATTTCTATGCCTTTAAAGGCTGAAATAGTAATTTATAGTGTGTTTATCTAATTCTACCCGAGTCAATGTCACGTTAACTATGCTTATTTATTACGTCATAGAAATATTAATGTATTGTCCAGACTACCTGGGAAGCTAAAACAGATATGCTTCACACATTTTCTCTTTCTTCTATTTATATTGGTATAGTGCATACTTGGTTCGGTGTAGGTGATTAAAAATATTTTCTTATTAGCTGGTAGACTTTCCAGACACAGTTTGTTTATAATTGTGCTGTGATATTATTATAGACGTAACCAATAGAATCAGGAGAATTTATTGAGTAGTCACATGTACCTGTAAAATTGATCAGAAGGCATGAATATATTGATTTTTTTATTCATTAAATATCTGTCTGTATGATAATTCACAAGTCACCACAAATTTTATTGCATTTCTTTCAGGAATGTCCACATAGTTTCATTTTAATTTACAAATTAATCATTCTTTAAAGTCTTTTACATGCTTAATTTACTTTAGGTGGCAATGGAAGCTGTTGTGAATCCACCCAAACCAAATGAACCATCTTATGCTCTTTTTGTCAAAGAACGCGATGCTGTATTAAATGCGTTAAAAGAAAAAGCTGAATTAACGTATAATTCGTTAAACTCACTACCAAATATGTCTTGTAACCCAGTACAGGGTGCAATGTATGCTTTTCCGCGGATACATATACCACCAGCAGCTATTCAGGAAGCTAAAGTATGTTCTTTTGGACAGTGTGCTTGGTTTTAAGAAATTCTAGCACTCAGTGTTTTTAATTCAGTTTGTTCGCTTTTTTTGTTAAATGTGCTAGGAGCATTATTCAGATAGAAGAAAACCTTATAGTAGCTGCCAAAGTGATAGTGAAGTTTTGTAGCTTCACGTTCTCTGAATTCGTGAATATAGAAAAAACACAAGTCCGCTAACCCAGAGACTGGTGATCTGAATGAAGAATAATCAGACATTTAGGGTTTCGAAGATTGTCATGATGAATCTAGAAATCAGTTAATGAAAGGGTTCTCGCACTGTTTTATACTAAACAGAGGATCTTATCCCAACGCTTGATCTTTTCACCGGTCTAATGGGACTGACTACCACGACACCAGTTAGCGATTCTGTGACTAGTAAAAATATCTACGCGGATTCAAAAGACTTTTCTGCCATTTCCAAGGTTGCATAACTTCTAGTGCAGACGTAATATACGAGAACACAGTACTGAGAATATATGCTATTCAGCCGTTTGTTCTGTCGTTGTATGCAGTATCTACTAAAAGCAGAAAATATGAAGAGATTAGAGGCTTTTTGTCATTAGAGTGTTCTTTAAATTACTAGTGAGATTTGGAGCAGTACCATAAGTCATAATGAGATGAGGCGTAGTATTCTGCATGATGAGGTATAGCAACTTGGACTGAAACAGTTTCATACAGAATTCTAAGTTGATCCTTTAGTCATCAAGAAGATCGAAATAGTATTATTATATTCATTTGTCGTCACCTTATAAAACTGTATCCTGTACTACATGCTTTTCCTGTTGTGATTTTCTAGGCTATTTGTGCGTTATAAATATCAGGCAAACGATATTATTAATGCTCTCACTGTTCTCATTATTTATTATCAAATTAGATAATAGAGCACTCCAGTGGAAAATGTATATTTAGCCTTCTTCAAAATTATCTCAGTGTTCAAGAGTCGAGCTTTTCGTTAGATGACAATGTCATCAGGACGGTTCCACAAAATCAAATGAAGTGAATTGGTTAATTTCATTTTTCTTACTTGTGTATATCGTTTTTTATTGACTAAAACTGACTGAATGTCCTTCATTGTTATTTTTTATTCTTCCCCGTTGTTACAACTGAAAAATAAAGAGAAAAGGACAAGCTCCAGATTTCTTTTATTGTTTACAATTATTAGAAGAAAAAGGTATATGTGTTGTTCCTGGTTCTGGTTTTGGACAGAAGGAGGGGACATACCATTTCAGGTATTTTGTTTTATGTTGGCTTAAAAACAAAATATTCACTGCAATCTTTTCTTTTCATGTATTTCATTAACCATAAGATGTAATGCTTGGGATATTATTTATGAACGTGTCAGGTTTTAAAGTACATTACGAAATGATTGTCATTAATGCAAACAATTCACAGTGCACTGTGATGGTGAGCCGCCTAGTATCGTGGCCAAATTGCAAACTTCACTGACTGAATTCAGTCTGCACCGAAAGATAGGACTGTACATACTTCACTAGTCAGTGACTAGTGTCCAGTCAAAAGGGTTGTTTCTTAAATATCTTGGAAGAGTTGAAATTCACCCTGTAACTGGGACAATAGGTTTGTTTGCTTAGGAAATCATTGGTGATAATATTTTGAGGACAGTGTTTTATTACTGAAAATAATCGATTGTTTAATTTCTTCTGAAAGGTTGAAGAAATCAGTCTATCCATTGAGATGGATCAAACTGAGAACCTCAAGGAGCTTCACACCGGAAGTCGATTGTGTGAAATGTAGGCTTTGGTTTTCACTTCCTGCGAACCTTTTTTAGCGTGAAATAAAAGTAAGAACGGTAAAGCACGGTGCAGTAACTTGGTAGTATAAATAGTTCTCTTTGAAAATCAGGTGTTATTAGAAGTCATTAGCTAGAATTTAGGTGATGTGAATAAAGTAATTCCTCCCAAACGATGTATTATTCTCATTCTGTCCCAACCCTTCCTTGTTAGCAAGTATTATTTTTGGAACGATTTTAATTACTCATATAATGTCATGGTATTTATTACACAAGTGTTTTAAGCATCTGAAGTCACCGTCTCAGTAGTTTCTCTCCCCAATAATATGAAATTTCTTTGCATTATCATTTTTTAGTCATCGTGACTTTATTTGACTCTGAGACTGGAATCCTGTCTTGTGTGATAACCGTTGCATAGATTTTTACTTTATTTTTACGAAATCTGCTCAACTGAGTTAAAATTGATTTTTGAAATTTTGAACTATGTCTAAATTTATTCGGTAAAATATTCCTAATAGTAAAAATATTATGAAATATATATTCATAAGTTGTTTAAAGTACTCTGGAAACTACACTTCAAGTTCTCATCTTTTTACTGGATTCATTTACGCATTATACTTCTGGTAACTATAAATAGGATCTTATTTTAATAGAAGTGCTTACTTTCTTGCACAAGGTAAAAGCCATACGTTTGCAATTGTTATGGTTGCTTTACGACAGTAAGTCTCTGAACGGAGATGTGTTTCTATCTGTCTGCTTCTGAATAAGTTAGGTCTTTGATTGGTTGAATTAAGTTGTGTTTCCGTTAAATCATTATGATGATCCGAATGTTTATTTATCGACAAAACGGTAATGTTTTTTTCAAGCTTCACCGGCTCCAGTGAATCAGTATAAATCGGTATTGGTGAGAACAAATTACATAGAATGTTGTGTAAAATACTGCTTGTAAAATGCATAATTTTGATGAAGTTAGATAATATCCAACGAAAAAAAATTATACTGCTTTTTGTCGTGAACATGATGCACATATATATTATGTGAGTCATTTCTGGCCAATGAGAGTGAATAAAAACGAAAGTGAACTTTAGTAGAAGTTTTTTAAACATGCACTTCTAAATACCTAGGAATTTTTAATGATTACTCTCAGTCGAACCATTTTTTTGGTTTGCTTTACTGCTGCTTGATTCGATGAGCACGTTTATTTTTCAATTTCGTTTAAATACTTCATTATTTTTGCTACAAGGTTTTTTCCATTACGATTTTAAATAACTGTGTATTAGAGATAAGATCCAATTAAGTGCTTAAATAATTCACACCTCGATTTAAAAGTGAACTAACTAAGTGATATATTAATTCGACAGTGTTCTGTGACCTGGTTTCGCACAAGGCATTCAGTGACCTTCCGGTCGTCATCTTGAGTTCAATTTGACAGTCAGTGTAGACGTCGGTTTTCGGATATTTTACTTCTACGTTCTGTGAAATTATCTTATTCGTCCAAGGCTTTACAGACTAGACATACGTTTGTATTGTTTGCTATGCTGTTTCTTCATTCGAGGGTGACGTTTTTTCAACTTGTTTGCATTCTTTATCAATTTGTCTTCCGTCAGTGTATAAATACCATCTCAAAGTCCAAATAAAAAAATAGTCCTCAACTCAATCAAGCCTACAATGGAAAATTCAAGACAAACAGTCAATAGAACCAGAATAACTAAAGTGAACACTGGTTTCCAATAAACTTTTCACTAGTCTCTACAGTTTTAGTTACATAAATGCTAGCGAGCTATTGTTGTTAAAGGCAACATAGAATTATATCACGTGTATTGTGGTATATGCACATGATATTTAGTCTGATTATTGTTTAAATACATATAAAATATATAGCGAATGAGAACATCAGACAAAATGAGATTAAATAATTCATTGACTAGTGTTAATATATATATATACTAGGTGATTAAGTAAGTAAAGGTGATTATTAAGTAATGAAGGATTTAATAAAGTGGGAAGAAAAAGGACAAATGAACGCAATGGCAAATGCGAAAAGTATTGCATGAGTCTAAGATAAAAGACTTAATAAGAAAGGTCATGAATTCGGGAAATGTCTGGAACAAAAGATGGTCAATGAAATAAGTGGAGAAAGGGAAAGAATGGCGTAGAGATTTAGTTTTAATTGTTAGTGTTTATAGTATTTGTTGACCTTATTGTATGCCAAGGTCAAAAAGAGTCTTTGTATACTTCTTCTGGACACAGAAGACAAGTCTTTTAGTACTGACTGTTACAGCTTCGGCCATTGATGTACACGTTAGGCCACTGTCAACAACTGCCTCAGTTTAAATGGCTATCCACCACCCATTAATTGAAATAAAACTGTGCTGTTTATGCTTTTGGTTTCCCCTTTTCCCTACCGTAACGGCCAAATTCATACACGCTAATACAGTTAGCTCCTTACTAACAGTTATGGGGACATCAGGAAACGGTTAATCCTCCCTTACCAGTAAAAAGAGGAGAAAGTAGGTGAATAAAACTCAAGCCATCTAACGAAGTCTTAAGGGTTAACCAACAACAAGAAGACAGTCACTACAACTGACAAGAATAAACAAATCACTCATTCGGCACGAAATGAAGAACCAAGAATAAAATATGTGTTAGCTAACCAAGTTAAATGACTAGATAAAAATAGACTTTTTTAGAGGAATAGTCATAATGTAACCACTATATTCATCATTTGACACTGGAAGTGATAATCAGAATGTCGCTGAAGCCTCTTCCCTCCTCTAAGTCAACTCAAAAAGACATTCAGTTGAAGATCCTCACTCTAAGCTATAGATATCCTCAGTGCAATTAAATCAGATTCACTTGTGAAATACCAATGAAAAGCTGGATGTCTAAAATCTACCTAACACACTATGAAAACCATTTGAAAAACAATGTCGATCATTATAAGCAGACCAGTAAATATTTCGCTTTCAAATAAATGAAATATTGCTTCTTTCGCTTACTCAGAGTTTATTTCATCGGAAGCAATTACTTAAATCATCATTTAAACCACCTGGTTATGGTGCATTATCATTTTGTATTTCTTCCTGTCATAACGTGATTTCTACAAGGTAGGATAAATAAAGCTGCTTTTTTGGTGTATATTTATTTACGAAAATGTATCAACTTTGGAAAACTTATTGATTATTTGAGTGGTTGGAGGAATTTATCATGAGCTGACATCAATCTACGAGCTCGCCTTCTAACCAGAAGATCCTGGATTCGAACGCTGGCGACGGGTGCGTACTGATGAAGAGTTTCAAACTATGACGAAACAGGTGTTCAGTACTCCTAGGTTTTCCAATGGTCCCCTGACTAATGTCAGTTCATGATGAAGCCCTCCAACCAATCAAACAAAATCCCTACAAAATAAATACCTGAAAATTATTGATTTCTGTGCACTGTTTATTTTTCTTTTAACGGTAGCTTTATTATTGATTTCTGAGTCACTGTAACTGTACTCAAATAATAATCCACCGAGGTATTATTATTATGACAAGAAGTATTAATCTGACAGATTAATTCAAATTTACTGCTGTCTGAACCATGGATGACTAATATGCACTTCACTAAAAAGAAATTAACAGAATATGTTTAATGAATTCTAGTAAACTTTTGTTGGCCTAATATATACACTGTTTACATAATAGTTACATCATCAAACACTGAGTACTTCTCAGTTTCTAATGATAGTTTAGTAGATATTGGGCTGTGATGTAAACCAATTGGGAAAATTTTTTGTGGGATAAGTGAAGACAAAGCAAGTTCCCACTTTTTTTTATAAGCAATTACTTGTTAGCTTTCTGCTAATAGTATTAGAATGGAAAAAACTTAATTTTTTAATTTTTTTAAAATTTTTGATTACAGCTTGATTCCACACTGTATTTTTGGTACAAGTATGGAATTTTCGGCATGGATATCGGTAGCCCAAATTTTTCAGGCCGACCATAGATATCAGGTGCGCGTCGGCAGGGGATCGAACCTCGGACCATGTGCATGGTTGGTGAGAGTCCTAACTAATGTGCCACCGACGCACATTAAAGCCTGTTAGTCTTAACTAAATACCTCGGTTAATTTATAAGACTTTCGGGTTGTATACAATTTTTTCTGACTGTTGTATGAACTAATTTTAAAATTGAACCAAAGAATTAGTTTTACTGCGTAATAGATATGCCAACTTGACTTTCCTTTGACTTTTCACGGAGGATGACATTTCGAGTGATGCCAAAACACTGGCCACGTGCATAACACAAATAATGGATATTTATCAGCATATCTGTTATGAAATGTTTTGAGATTTAAGGAAGAATGAATCATTTTATTTGATTTCAGTGGTATTTCAAACTATTCCTATCATCACACTGTTTCGCAGTTTGACCCTTTTATTTTCTTTATTTTCTGATCAGGACAACTATTCTACCAACCGTTGAAAAAATGAAATATGTTGTGAAACAACTGGAAGATTTTCAGAAAGCTTTCATCAAGAAGTATTCCTAATTTTTTATACCTAAATTTGCAATCACACAAATGTTAGTTGTTAGATAGCAGCAGTCGCGACCACATTTGGATCGCTTGAATCTTTTTTTGTTTATCTATTTTCCGTTTAACAGTATGTCAGCAAAACTCTGTCTCTGAATAATTATTTCTGCAGTTTATCACTGTGTATATGTCATACATGTAATATGCATAAATATGTGCAGATTCTTATTTTATAAACTAATATTACTTTGAAAATAATTGTTTTCAGTTTTTTCCATTATTCCTTCATTCTTCAGTTTATATATATGGAATTTCCAATGAAAAAAAATCCCACGAAATATATTTATTTCATTTATCAAATCTACACCAGTAGTTTGTGTTTTTCATAACCTAAGCTAACTCTCCTGTTTGAAGGGGATCAGTCTTAGTGAATTACGGGGATTTAGTTTGAACGTCGTATCTTTAGAACTTATATATATATATATATATACAGAGATAGAGAGAGAGAAAAACTTAAATGGTCAAACTGATCCGTGGGATACATAGGGAACTACCAGAAATGGCTAGCTGGCTTTAATGAGCTAGTCTTTTAGAAAAAAAATGACAGTCAAGTACGTTATTCAAAAGTAGAACCCATTGTTGGAATTTCTATAAGTCGACAAAGAAGGTTCACCAGAATTGACTATCCGTAAGCTCTTAGATGGCTACACATTTTGATGTTAAAACTTTTTAAAAATTTCATTACTTATCTCGAAACTGTTCACTGTATGTATATCAAGCAGTCATCATTTCCGAATGTTGCAAATAAGGATAAATGAATTTGGTGAATAACGCTTTTCACTTGGTAATTTTTAATTATCGCACTGGCTTGTTTAATCTCAGCAAACTGGAATGCTTTTTTCGAAGGTCATGCTTTGCAAGTAGGATTATGTGTTGTAGGAGGGTAACGATAAATACTTTTTCCTGCTAGCTGTGCAGCAAGGTATTTCCCACTGGCGCCCTACATTTAAAGTTAAACTACCTCCATGCTCCCAGGGAAAATAATTGAAAAAGGTCGAAAAGGTTCCGCCTTATTTTCTTACTTTCTAGTTTGTGTAACTAAGGTTTCATTAAGACTGGACAGACAACCTTTCTGATTACATATGATCAGTTTGAAGCCCACACCTCTTAATTTAAATCTGTTCACACTTTTAAAGCGATAGGAAAATATTGGGCTTACCTTGTAGTCATCTGGGATGCAGTTATTAGTTGTATGATTCTGATTAACTCATAAGCCTTTCTATTCATAGACTCACACTTATGTCACCCTGTCTGCGTTGTCAGTGTTATTGCTGCCGGAGTTTTTCGGCTAATTGTCATATGGAAGTCTCTCAAAACGTTACTGGTTGAAGTTCAAACTGTACTTCCAATCTGAGAACACAAAGTAATAGCTGAAACTCTGTTATTGAAGCTTTTGAGTATACAAAGCTGCACTGGGGATTACTTTAAAGCAGCCTCATTAATAAGTGCCAATTCAGCCTCATCGCTCAAAATTTTGGAACACTGTATATATATATATATATATGTTAATGGGGAAATTCAGTTGCCTGAGAAGAACATTCATGGTCTCTTAGTGAATACACTGATAAGGGTGACTGTAGCATTGTATTTTGTTCTGAAAATCACTTGACATTAACTGCAATTCGATCAGCTTAAATATGCGAAAGCTTCGCTGGGGTAAAAGTTATTCCGATGATCGGCTATATAACAGTTAGCCGCCGTTTAAGTGGACAAACTGAATATCTCACATCTTCCAAAAACACTTTAGCCGCCTTACAAATACCAAGACTAGAAGGCTTAATTTCAGGAATTTTAAAAGTTGCCAGTCGGGAATTATTTTAACTGACGATTAAAGAATGTAACGAAATCCTTCTGTTACAAACACCACTAAACCAGTCTAACCACTAGTCTTTACATTATTAGGGTTTATTAAAAACAATGAAGAGTTCTACAGTCTGTGGTATGAGTACTGACATTAAGAACAGCACTTTTCCAACACGAACTTATCAGTGTTTGTTAACTGTCTAGATCTTGTAATGGCTAACTGGGAGGTGAAACGGTTATTAATGATGGGCACTATTAGAAAACGTGTTTACTCATTTGTAGGTGCATCCAGAAATTTTAATCTTCAAGCTCGTTGAGATTAAACGACTCGATTAACCTAAGACGCTCGAGAAAAAAGATCCTCTATGAAAGACCGCCAACGAAGTTTTGACCTAAACAATGGACTGAGAATGTTTGACATGCGTTTCTCAACTCTAAAATGTTAGGTACAAAAATGATCTCAACCGAGATGAAAGCGGTTTCAACTCTGATTCATTCATCCTGTAGAGTGACCACCACTGATAGACATCCATCCCAGGTTTATTATCTTCGCAATACGATAGTAATTTAGGCTTCAGGATATAATAAGAGTTACTGGTAAGCGCCGTTATGTTGAGTTTATTTTAATGGCATGGTTTGAAATGATAAATTCGCTCTCAAGACTCATGGGAGCTAGCAGAAACTACTTCGAAATTAATCGTTCCCATAAATTATTCTAAAAACATAAATACTTCAATGTTATCCATCAGGCTTTAGACTGCTGAAGAAATGTTTTCATGTGTTGAACATTTTCAGTGTTATCACTAAATGGAAATGCTTTTAGTGAGTGAAGTATTATCTAAGAAGAGATTCGACCGAATAACTTTTTATGGACCCAGTGATCCAGGGACTTTGTCTGTTAATCAGGTATGATTTTCACTAGGGTCATCGAGGTTTTTGTTCAGTTTGGTTCATTACCAACTTTATTCTCATTGAGGTTTTCTTATTTTTATTAAAACATAATTGAAATGGACAAAGGCCGGGATTATAAGATGATACGTTAACTAGCTGAAATTATCTTGACCCAAAATGTTATGCAGTACAGTTCCACTATACCTACGATGCTTTGAATTCTAGTCACCTACTCCAGGTAATAAAAGTATCACTTGCCCAGGACTATACTTTAGAAAAATCTGGTTGGATACATTGAATATTTAAATTCTACAAGCGATTGATATTACTTTTTGAATAATGTACTTATGGTAACTTTCATAATTTACTTCATTATGAACATTTTGAATTACAAGAGAATTCATACGGGAAAGTTTGTTTGTTCACACATTTCTGCCAGTGATTATAACCAGTTAAAGTGTTTACTACTTGTTTCCTCTGTCTACTTACTCTCGATTCCCTGTGATGAAGTTATAAGATCAGCAGGAATATGTAGTGCTGGTCGCCTTAGATTCCATTATCAAATATTTTATTAGCCTATTATCCTGATAATTGACTACATTTTTCTAGTATTAAAAGTATAAAATAATGATCACATCGCAGTAATGGTTTTCTCTAACAGTCTTTTGTGAATTTTGGCAGATGGTGACTATCAGTGGAATCCAAGGTGAGCATTTCCTCCTATTTGGGGCTTGTCAGATGTATGTGCCTGCATTCCCAGTAAGTGGGGGTATTCCAACTGAGACTCGAGCTCAGTATCCATCGATTGAAACGTCAAAGCCTTATCCACTAGACACTATATCTTCTGATTATTAAATCCTTAAATATCTATCCACTGTTGTGTTAGTAATTTAAGTATTCGTCTGCTTATTGGTAAAAAATGTATTTCTGAAGGGTTGAAGTTTTTTTTACTATACTTAACAGTAAGAATTTGTTTACTTCAGAATGTTATGAATTCAATATATTTATGCTTCCTTTCACTTCTAAATCAATTTAGAAACAACATTCCCCTTCATACATTATTGATTAATATGAAACCATTTTCGGATAAATTGTTTGTGTTTTCTTTATTTGCCGTTATTTAGATCATTCCTACGTCTATTCTGTTTTGATTGTTTATTCCCTATAAAATAGGAAGTGTCGAGTTCACTGTTAAATATTTACTTCTCTTGACAAACTTGAACAAGGTGAAAAAAAAGAGACAGCTGTTATTGTAGCTGTATATGAAATGATGAATGAGTATTGCAATAATTAGATTATTGATTTGATTTCTTATCAGTCACCGGTAAAAATCAGTCTTTTAATATGAACATGTTCGGGTGTTTTCCATATGCTGCTCACTACAGGGACAATAACACCATAATCATAACTGTTAATTTAGTCGATCTGGCTCTAACCTCTACATCTTAATAGAGTACTATGCGATTTTTATAACCATCAGTAAAAACTGCCTATTAAACTGTTTTAAATCAAGCCAGCTAAAAGTAAAGGGAAGGCAGATATTTATTCCAGCTGTAGTAGCTTGGCGATAAGAGATATCTAATGGACTTATTCTAGTTAATTAGATGGAGGAGGTTAAAGTAAGCCAGATTGTTAACAGTTTGGATTCTTTACCCTTTTCGTTTTCATCCTGAAGATAATTCTGTGTGCCTTCCTCACATAACAATCACTCACCACGTATGCTTGTTAGTCTGATAGCCAACTTTCAAGACAGTAGACACCACCGCTTTTCAAACGTACATAACAACTAAGCAGAGGTTTTGGATACTCTATGAAACGACTAATGTCCATACTTTGGTTTACCTATCATAACACAAACTACCATAATTAAACCTATACAAGGCACTATTTTCCCATTTACATGAGTAAATACCATTTTGGCATTGATATTTTCCTTGAGTTGTTCGGCATAAGATGTAATTTTTGACGCACTTTTCAGTAGTAATCTCCAGTACCATACTTTATTACTGTCATGCAGTTAATATTTACACATAGTTTTTAAGAGCATAATAACTAAATGTTTTTGTAATGTAAATCTTACACCCGAGGTGAATAGTTCTGTTTTCACTTAGTGCATACAAACAATAAATTAACGTCAACAGTGAAACCTACTCAGAGATTTGTGATGTTGCTCATGTGGTAATCATTACTGTCAGTCGTTGCTATAGTTTATAGCATTAAGTACTAAGATATAGAGTGCCAACTGATTGTGTTCTACGCTTTTCAAGTGAACATACTATCTGTGTGCTATCTAGCGTGATGGTATTTCCACTGAAACAGTAGACTACCACTTATGCCTTTAGGGTGTTAGTGACCGCATTTCTCAGTTTCGGTCTACATGCTTTCTCAATGTGCACCCATTTTCACTGGGGCAAAGGCGTAATTATTCACTTGAGGGAGATAAAAACCATTGAGGAGACCTTGAGCAGTACAGAATGTGTCCTTTATATAATTAGTTTGCAATAGTAACAACACTGAGATTTGTGCTGAGATTTTATTTGTATAGCTGCATTAATAAAGAAAAATCCATACATTTTTGTGAATGGGTAGTAAGAAATGTCAGGACTGTCGTTAA